GTGTGCCCGGCGCGGGCAGTGAGGCCACGTTAGCGCCCGGGGCTCCGGGCCGGCTCCGCAGCGGGCGCTGAGGGCGGCTCCGGGCCCGGGGCCGGCACGGAGCAGCCCCGCGAGGCTCCTTACCCAGGTGCAGGGTGAAGGCTGCCCACTGCCTGGCGCTGGCGACGAAGGCTCCCCCCTCGACGGAGAGGTAGCGGGTGCTGACGGTCTGGGAGCGCAGGCGGTTGAAGAGCGACACTTTGGAGCCCGAGGAGATGCACACTGCGGGCGGCAGGAGGGCTGCGTCAGCGCGTGCCGGGGCGGCTCGCGCGGGGCCTGCGCTGCGCCCCACACGGTGGAGCGCCGGGGAGAAGCCGCCGTTATGAGCAGAGCCACCGCTAAAGGCACTCGTGCTTCCCCAGCGCGTTCTGCTCGCGTAGGAGCCAGCCAGGCGGGAGGTGAAGCCTGAGGGGGAGGCCCTGTGAGCGTGAAGACAGGCACCCCGGGAGGGATAAGCGGCACCCGCGCACTGTCCCGGCCGACCCTACGCACGGTCTGTGTTCTTCAGTGACTGCTTCTTCTGCGAGGGCTTGGAGATGACTTTAATGAGTTTGCTGTGGAAGGTGCCGATCTCCTGCCCGTTGCTGAAGAAGAGCTTGAGGACCAGGCGGAAATGCTTGCGCTTGTCTGTGTCCGAGATGTAGAGCGCCTTGGCGCAGCCGAAGCCCTGCAGCAGAGAGACCTTGGGAAGGGAGGCCGTGGCGCCCAGCCTAGGAGCTCAGCTTGTCCCAGAGCGTCCCCAGCGCGCAGGAGCCGGCTGAGGAAAACCTTCATCTTCCACCTGCAGCCATGACCTTCCTCCCGGCACGGTGCGAGGGATCCGCGCGCGTCCCGCGGGGCCGCAGGTCCCGCCAGCGCGGAGCCGCCGGCCGGAGCCACCCCGCGCGGACATAATGGCTCTCATTCAACAAGGCCCCGGTTCATGGGAAGGGGGAAACCATCAGAGCTGTTATTACAGGTGCGAGGAAGAGCTGGGGGATCGGCAGAGGCCTTATTTACACAGGGGGCAGAGAATTCCTCACGGCAGTGAATGTTCACACGTGATTTATCCCGCGGAACATGAGAAGTCGCCCTGGGCTTGCGGCTCCGCAGCCGTCGCGGCTCTCGCGGGCGAGAGGGCTGCCCTAGTGGTAACGGAGGCTCTGCAAACAAAGGCCCTTTCTGCAGCGCTCCTGGCCCGGCTCAGCCCCCACGAGCCCTGCGACGACGCTTTTTAATTTCTTTCCTCTATCAAAAGACGCCTAATCTCTGCTCTCACTCTTGGAGGTTGGGGTGGGTTGGTGTTTTCTTTAGCTGTTTATCTGCCACTGAAAGGGCAGCTTTCATTTTGCGATAAGCGGCCCCGCGGTTTGCGGGGAGAAGGGGACAGGCTGGGGAGGCTGTGTGGGTTTTGGCCGCTCGCCCACCGCGGGGGCTGCGGACCTGAGAAGATGGTGGTGAAGAAAGACGGGCTTCTTTGCCAGCCTGGGGCTCGTCTGCCCCCACGTGCCACGGGTTTGTGCCAGGGAAGAAACCCAACATCTCCAGGAGCACAGTGAGGAGCAAGAGCATCCTCTGGTATGGAGCTGATAGGGACAAATATGCAGAGGGCTTCCAGCAAGTGGAGCTGATGTGGGTGCCCATCACGGGTGCCCTAGGTGGGTGCTGGGGCAGAACCACCCCAGGGTAACTGCAGGTGACACAGGAATCAGGGTCCTTAGGATCTGCTGAGTCTGGCCAACATTAGCCAAGATGCTGCCCCCGCTGGCCCTCGAGCACTGGGAGTTGTGTCCATTTCGCAGTGGACCACGACCCCCGCAGCAGCTCAGGCAGCGGGGTGGCCCTCACTGCGGATGTCCCCACCAGGGTGAGTGACTCATGCACCCAATAAAAGCTGGCTGCGGGGGCTGGCTGGGGATGGCACCGGCCGGTCGTCCTGCCCTGCGTCCCTTCCAGGTGCTGTCTCTGTCCCTCCCCGCATCAGCGTTGGTCCCCAAAATGCAGCATTTCTAAGAGCTGCTGCCGAGGATGCTCCGTGGAGCCGCCATGCCTGCCCAGACACGGGAGCAGCGGGAAGGTGAGTGCGGCTGTGGTGGGGACAAGGGAACCGGCACACAGAGCTGCGCCGCGGGGCGGCCTTACCCTCGCGTCCGCCTGCTCCTCGAAGGTGAGTTTCTGCGTCTCCGCCAGGCTGCTGCCCATGCTGTCCAGCCCCATGTACCCGCACACCCGCGAGCCGTCCTCTCCCACGGCCCTGGCTACTGGAAACGAGGGGGACATGGGATTAGGAAAAGCAAAGCAGCAGGATAACCACGTAACTTTCCTCTTTGGAGGGTTGAGATCCTTTCTCTGGGGCACAGAGGAGGGGCCCAGGCTGCCACCGAGTACCTACCTTTGATCTGCTCCTGCTTTAACTTCCATCCTGGCCCGGACAGATAAACACAGGGTGGGGGGCAGAAGAACCTGGAAAAACCCAAGGACAGTTTGTGACTGTACTTAAAAACCCAGAGAAGGCGCTTTAGAGATGGGGCAGCACGGATTGACCAGCGGTGCTGAGACCGGAGACCTCCTGAGCTGCCCCCTCCCAGGTATGTGGCCATGCATGGACTACGGGGCAAATATCAGCCCAGCCAGCGGCTCGTGTTTAGGTGCCACTAAAGCAGCTGGGAGAGCCCCGGCCGGGCCCGGGCTGCCAGTGCGAGCGGAGCAGCCGCAGGAGGGGCCGCGCCAGCGGCGCCGCAAAAAGCGCCTTTGGCAGCCCGGGAACAGAGGCCACATTCACGGCCAGCTCTGGAGCCCAGTGCAAATAAATCTATAGCCAACGTTTTGGAAACATATTTTCCTGTGTTTTATTTGGGTTTCCACTGTCTTTGCACTCGTGTGAATGGTGCAAATTCATCGTCTTGTGATGCCCTGTAAAGTGCTAGCCCTGGAAACACCCCTGCAGGGTGGTTTGGTTTTTCTGGGCCCTTAAAGTGCTGCCATAGGGGGTCATTTAAGCAAGTTATCTACGGCCCAGGACCTCAACCCCCACCATGAAGGAGACCCAGAGCCCTGAAGCGTTAACTAGGACCCCTGTGCTGATTTGCTCTTCTTTTTTTCAGACTTGGCATCTGCTTTCCATGCTCATCCTCCAAGTCCTACCCAAGACAGGGGGTCTCCCAGCCTTGGGGACCTGGAACCTTCGCTGAGATGACAAGAACCTCCTGGCTGGGAGACCAGGTCTGAAATAAAATCTTTGCCCAGTGCCCATCATACTGGGAGGGAAGCTGGATGTGAGTATGGACCTTGAGGATAACTGGAGCCAGCTTAGTGCTGTCCTTCTGGGGGTGTTTGCATCTGGATGCAGTTAAGCCCTAGAGGTAGAGCTCATCTCCTCCTAACTTCTCCCTACTCAGTAATAAAAGAAGGTTATTTTTATCACAAAGGTTAATGGAGAATTAATTATATTGCAGTGGCATGGTCTGACGTTCCTGCCCAGGAATAGTAATTTGCGAGCTTTGAATTGACCAGAAGAACCTCAAGGTGTTCTTGCAATTTTGGGAAGTATTTTCAAAAATAGCTTTTTGGAGACCCTGGACACTGATGGAAATGTCCCAGCCAGTGATGTGGTCTATCAGGTTTTAAGACAAGATTTCCAGAGCAGTAGTAACAATAGCCTTTCCTCTTCGGAGCCTTCATAATCCCATTCTTAAGGGATAATATTTTAATGTTTTCTTCACTTTTATTATTTTACTTCATCTTCTCTCTCTTCTCAAGTACTTTAAGGGAGAACTCTAACCCCAGGTAAAGCCTTACTTGGATCAATGCAGAGGAGAGTTTATATGTTATGTCAGGTTATACGTTATTAAATTCATGCAGCCTGAAAGACAGATTGGGATGCAAAGAGGTCACAGGTAGATGGAAAGGGGTTATGTTAAGTCATTTGTCTTATCAGATTAGATTAGAGAAATCTAGTGAGGTGAAAATTGAACATTAGGTATTTGCTTTTGGAAGTGGCCTTCTAAACACAGAGCTACCTAAGAGGCTGCAGAGTCTCCTACCGTTTCTCATTGCCGTACGACTTCTGTGCGACTTTTGCGTGCAGTATCAGGACCGTCCGGTCCGCCGGCAGCTGCAGGTACCTCCGCACGCCGTCCCGAAGCAGGTCAGCTTGGTACGGGTTGGATCTGAAAAACAGCCGTCCCGTAGCACTAGTAACATCAGACCTGGGCTCTGCGTTGTGATAACGAGGTCACAGGAGCAGTCTGGACACTGCTCATTGAATCATGCAGCTAGATAAAGAATAACACCCAGAGAAAAATTAAGGTAACTTTGAGACAACCCTTTCTGTGCCACTTGTGTCTTGCTGCCTGTTGGTAACGGGGCTCTCCATTTCTGCCTTGTGTGCCACGTCAGAGACGGAGCTCCACCAAAGCCGGGTTTCCAGCTGGTGCCAGTGTCACCCAGAGCATTACCTGCTGCTCTGCGTCTGATAAAATGGATGTTTTATGGTGACAGCAAGCCCGTTTCTGACCGGAGACCATGACCTGCAGAGCATGAATTGCAACTGTGCCCAGCTCCATTGCTCCCAGCACCAGAGCCTCCACCAGCCCGTTCTGCCTGAGGCACTCCAGGATCACCTGGAAAGCTGAGGTTGGATCTATTCCCTCTGATCTGTCATTGTGGGGCAGAGAGATGCCTGCTTCCCAGCTTGGTGCTTGTGGCCACCACAAGCGCACTGAAGGTGGGGGTTTACCAGCTTGTTTCCCACCGCCGAGGCAGTGGCAGCTACTTCACCTTGCTGAAAAGTTTAATTTCAAGCTGTCTTATTAATGGTTTATAACCTGCACAGCCACAGGTAGCCAGTAGGAAAATTATCTGATGCTTTTTCATAACAGCAGTGGAGGAGCAGGCCTGACTTTCCCTGGTGGGTCTCATCTTGCAGGAGTCCATGCAAAACGAGGAGCACCTCTTCAGGTCCTTGTCACCTCTCTGCTGCGGTGACACATGCCACATCCCGAGCACATGGCCCTAAGGGAGGGCTCAGCAATGGGCTCCCGTTGTCCTCGAGCCCCAGCGCGCTCCCGGTGCCTGTCCGCACGGCTTGGCATCCTCCTGGGAACCTTCCCCATTGCCGGGGCCAGGTGGGAAGAGCCTTGCAGCCAGGCGAGGCAGCGCAGGGAGTGTCCAGGTGCAGAGAGCCAAAACCTGTGGCTTGCGGCCCCGGCGCGAGGCCGGCCCGGGCTTGCGCGGCTCTCGCTGCGCTATCAGCCAGACGTAACCCCAGAGGCCCGGGCACAGCGCGCCCGGGAGCCCGCTGGAGCAATTATGCACATGCTATTTGCTGCTTAAACCTGGGCTGTGCATGCCAGAGGCAGGTAAACAGACCCTAGCGCTTCAGATGTGATGTTTAGATGGGTTAACTATAATGACTACTTAGAAACTTTTTTTTTCTCCCCCCTGTCCTTTCTCCACAGCCATTACTTTCCAAATTTAGGGGCTAAGTTGTCGCGGTGACGCACTTCTGAACAGTGCTCACCATTCTGACTGTGGAGGCGACCACCCAGCATCCGTCATCTGGTTTAAATTTACCTCCAGAAAGTCAAAGGACTATTGCTAGAGGAGCTCAATATACCTCCTTGGCTCCTTCTGGCACCTACAGGCTGTTCGGAGTTACAGGGAATTATTCACTCCTCCTGACATTTATTATATTGAATTATTAAAATGCTTTGATTGTAGTGCAGTGTTAGTTCAGTGTCGTGTTAGCAGCGCTGCCCGGGCCAGGCGCTCCGAGCTGGGGCTAAAAGCCTCCTTTTCAGAGGCCGGAGTCTCGGGTGGGACTCAAATGCTTTTGCACAAAGTTAGGTATTATGTGGAAGCGAAGCAGGAGAGCGGGACAGGGGGAGGCATGGCCTCACCGCTGCGTTTAGCCCATCCCTGCAAGGCCCTTCTCCCTCCTTAGGCTGCCGTGGCTGCATCCAAGGGCCTTTTGGTGCAGTATTTTCAGATACAATCCAGAAGTGGGTGCAAGGGCAGCCTGAGCTGCTGCTTCTGGGTGGCTCTGTCGCAAAGGCAGAGATGTGACAGCATCACCCAGCACCAGGGCACCCTGCGGGCACTTGCCACCCTTTGCTCCCCACCTAAGCAGCCCCTTTGGGGTTTCTCAAGCCCTGCAGCTCAACAGGGACCTGCTGCTACAGAGCGGATTGTTCTTCCCTGCCTATGGAAACCCAACGGCCTCATCATGAATACCCGTTTTAGGGGCCTGAGTGATGTTTTGTGCGGCACAGGGCAGTGAATGCCCACAGTGCTCCCAGGTATGGAGTCACTGCAATGTTTATGCAAAAGGGAAAGCCATTAGAAATCACAGAAATGAGCAGCCTGCAGTTTCTGGCTTCCCTGCTCTTTCAATACCTCCTTTAATCCAGACCAACCCAATCCACAAGCTCTTGTATATGTACGGGTATTTATAAATCCTGTATTTTTGTCACTGCACACACAAGTGAAATTCAGCCTTTGCTGAGCTCGGGGGATTTATCGACCACACCAACAGCAAACACCAGCCTGGGACAGGAAGTGCGAAAATTGTGCCCCCCTGGGCTCCATAGGGAACACCGGCCAGCCGGGCTCGCTCTTCCCAGGGGATGTTCCGTACTGCTCCTGGATCGCCCCAGCAGCACTCTTGGAAAAGCCGGATACCACAGCACTGTCTTCACTGCTGGACAAATGCAAACATAGTCTATGGTGTTCTGCAATCTCCCTTCCGCACCCTCGTGTAGCACTGATGTTAGTGTGAAGTGGGAGGAAAGAGAGACTAATGCAGACAAGTCCTTCCTGCCACCAGTACGGACTGGGGGACGGTCTGTTGGGCCGAGTCCGGGAGCTGTGACTGGGCGCCTGTGGCTCCCACAGGGGCCATTGCTGATTCCCTGGAGCCCTCAGCCCCCGGAGCCCTTCACACTCTGCTCTGTGACTGCTCCAAACGCTCTTGTGGACGTTCCCTCTAAGATTTCCTGAACCCCGCGGGTTGCTGTAGCTCAAACTGAAGGATGCTCTGAGCTTAGACTGTCTTTCCCAGGACCTGGTGAGTTAGAGGGTTCCCAGTGCTCTGCCCCAGCAGCTGATGGGGAGGGAAAAAAGAGGCGAAAAAAAGAGAAAAGCCCCCAAAGCCTCTCCCGGGCTGCTTGAGCCGGGACTATCCCGCCTG